TGAATATTTTTATTTAAAAATAATTATCGGCTTCAAAAATGAATAAACATTTAAAAGTAACCGAAAGTAATTACAAATAAACGTGTAGTTTTGTTAAAGAAAACAAGAAAACCACAGTACCTCTTTATATTGGAGAAAAACAAAATGTTCGACTATTTTACAAAATCGTTCGACTATCGTGCTAAAAAAAATTTCAAATCACACTTTTACAATCAGAGCTACATTTTCACCTACTAAATTTTTAACATTGCAATTATTTATTAAAAACCAAGTTTGATGTTTGTTTTCACTAATTAGGAAAACATTTATCAAGGCGACATTGACATATTTCAAGCATTTTTTTAGATATGGGGGGTGGTCCACATTTGACGCATGGTCCACATTACCAGAAGTTACTCTATCTCAGAACTGTTTTAACAGATATTAAAACATTATGACTGGTTATTGTCCTCTGATACTTATTTATAAAAACTAGTACCAAAAACATATAACAAATTAGCATTAGTTAACATTTTTTACAGTTTGGTAAAAAAAGGTCAAGTTCCCGGGGTAGCTTCGGCATTTGATGAGGCACATTCGGCACCATAGTCATAGCCTGGTAATTAACACCGCTATCAGTCTGGTTGAAATTCAAATTCTCTAAAGGGCTGGTAAATGAATGTTAAAATTTAGTTGCTGTTTTGGGTGATTAAAGAAAAGTGATTATTTTTGATGACGGACATGATAACTCCACTGAAACATCGGAATCCGAAAATTCCAAAGGTGTTAGGAAGAGTTCTTGTTTGGCTCTCGTATGAACTAGGATTATTGACTTCGCTAAAATATTAACAAGATGGCAAATTTTTGATTTTTTTTTGGAAATTTGATTGGATTATTAGTTTTTGAGCTATCGTGCCCGCCATTGTCTCGAGAAAAATGGGTTTAAAGTTTGATAATCACTCTTGCCGTCACTTGATGCTGACACAATAAATCGTTCAAGAGTTCTTGAGATTTTCACTTGAAATTTTGTAGTGGCATTCTTGAATTAGTGTATGTTCGAATTAAGCCAAAAAAAAAACTAAATTACATTTTTTGAAACCGAGAATGGGGTGGGTCTCCTTAATGCTATATTTTCTAGCGGCGGACATTGACGTCCTACGGTCTCATACTCCATCAAAAATAGAATTTTAAAGACAAACTCAAAAATGTTTAAGGAAATAATATAGAACTATTTGTATATGGCCGAATGTGCCCCGAATGTATTTTCAATGTTTTTTTTTTTTTTTATTTTTGTATCAATCTTCTAAAAGCTTTATATTTTTAATTATTTTTTTAAGAATACACTTTTAAATTAATGACTTTTCAATCATACTGCCTTAGAGTGTGAAAAGTTCTTTACACCAAATACTTACGAAATAGCATACAGATGTTACAAATATATTTAAAAAATACAAATTCCGTGCATATAAATAAGATTATTCGATACCTATGGATCAAAGCCAGTAATGTACAATGGGAGCTTCAAACAAAAACGCTATTGCCGAATTTGCACCGATGCCGAAGGTGCTCAGTCTCCCCTACATATTTATAAAATATTGAGCCTTTGTGGGTGATCTGCCAGAAGGAGAGGGCCGACGGATTCCAACTTCAGACCTGATCTAGGTTAGTTAAAGATAATATTTGTTCAAAGTTCGGACATTTCTTTCGCCTAGTATTAAACTTATAAATATTTAAAATTGTCATCCTTTGTGGGGGAGGTACCAGAAGGAATCGAAGAATGGGTCATATCTCCTGATAATTGGTCGTACAAAGTTTTATCCAAATCGGACATTCCATTCGCCAGATATTGAATTTATAAATATTGAAACATTGGGTCCTTTGTGGGAAGGAACCAGAAGGAGTGGACCGATACTCCCAATCTTCGAACTCTAACTAAGTTCGAAATAAATTTTACAATGTGCAAAGTATGGATAAAATCGCTTACACGAGTTATCGTGTCCATACAGACATACGGATGGACATTTGTAGATCGACTCCAAATTGTCTGAAACGGATTTGGGGTCTAAAAGGAATATTTCAATGAGGCACATATTTGCCATATTGAAGTGTATATATCCGCATTAGCCATCAGGCTGAGGGTTAAAAAATACTAGAATCGATCAAATATTTAGGATAGCCCCATATAACGTACATGTTTATTCTACCAAAGTACCTTCACTGATTTTCGTTGCTCGATTATGTTCAAGTTCCTATCTCAATGATCGAACCTGAGTGTCTGTAGTTTGGTATTTCGGTTTTTTTCTGACAGCAATTGTCCTTATAAATGTTAGCGATTTTGAACTACCACCTCAAGTTGGTGTTTAAAAAAATCGATCCGACCGAATTTAACAACGTTTATACTTTTTATAGTCCTTATAGGACTCCTGCTCTCTATTTGCAAAAAACTCTGGTAGTCGATTTTCACAATCCTCCCTATATACCAATTTTTTTATCATTAAAGAAATTTTGCAATGCAAGAAAGAGATGATAATCGTTTGGTGCCATGTCCAGAAGGTATGGCAGATATATTAAAACTTTCCAACCAAGCTCCCGAAGTTTCTGGCGAGTCACTGTAGATGTGTGTGGCCTAGCGTTGACCTGGTGGAACACGACACCTCACTGTTGGCCAATTCTGGCCATTTCTGGTCAAATGTAAATGGTTTAAAACATTTTTATGGTCGATTTTTAGCTCCTGGGCGATGTTACAACTGCTAACATGCCAACGACCGGCCTACCAGAGTGAGGTGCATCTTAAAATCAAAAAATCCTGAATGGAATCTACGAAACCAAAATTGCACATACCTACACATAATTGCAGTATCGGAACCATTAACACCATTCGCAATTTTTTAGCCGCCTTTCTTGAACTTTCCCTTCTATTTTTAACACACTGTAACTCACAGCTGAATGCACCAACCAAAAAAACAGCAAAATACTTTTTTCCTGTGAAATGTCACCCATCCAATGTGCTTAAACTGAAAATAATTGATCGATAGTTTACGAGAAATCTATCAGTACAAAAAATAATGGATTTATTTTCCCCCAACCTAATACGATCGGTGAAGATCTTTCTTATTTTCTAACTTGGTTTGTGGCCAGAACTAAGGAATTTTCCAAATATCAAATTTAATAGGTCCGTCATTTTGTTAATTTTTGAGTGATGTTAATAAACCTAGTTCATACCAGAGCCAGACATGTACTCTTTCGAATGTCCGCCGTCATAATAAGGAAATTTTCTTTAATTACAAAAAACTACAACATTACGTCAATTTATTTATTTTTTTTTAAATACATGTATGTAAAGTTCGAAGTCTTTATTAACATAATGTTTGCTCATTTGCCAGCCTCTTGAAACTTGTCGAAATTTGAAATTATAGGATCGAAGTCAATACGAAAATTATTTGTTTTAACCATTATTACTGATTTCTAAGCAGAGTCACAATATTGATCGACCACTCTTAAGTCATCTTAGGTATTTCCTTACCCACTATAGGGTTTGTATACTTAATGCCTATCTGTGACTCTCATAAGAACTCGCATATTCCATGTGATCTCTATTCAAGTTTACTTGGTGGGAGGCGCTTTGGATTTCGCACAATTTGTTAATCACTCAAAAAGCTTGGGGTCAATTGGTTCCGTTTTTCGACTGTTCCGCCTGTCCAATGTAGGATGTAAATTGTGAGTGTTACTGCGCAATTTGTGTGCCTGACGTCTACAGGTAAAGATTAGTTTCGTAAATCCAATAAAGGTTCAGATATTGACATGGGCCCCATACAAAGATATCGACCCATTTTTATTTTCTAACGTATGTATTTGTACTTTGGTATTTAGGTTTCTCAGAGGATAAACAACTCCTGACATACATTTTTCAATATCGGTTCAATAAAACAGTGGGACCATGTTTGATATATGCCCTAGGTAGAATTCTGTAAGAGCATTCTTTATTTGATTATCGATGCTACTTTTTCCCGCTTTGTCAGAGTGGAGTGAAAGTATACACCCTATGCCAACAGAACTCTCCTAGTATTGATAATATCTACATCAATATTATATATTTAGATACAAGAAGAATATTTAAAAGTCATACCCATATATTACGACTAAATATTGTCGTCAAGAACCTCATTTCGATTCTCCAACTAGATGCGTAACCTGTACTATACCGATGACTCCCTTCAGTTGTCTTGTTTGGATATTCCTTCCTTCTAACATTTGGAGCCACTGTCTTGCCTCATACCATCTACTTTAATTATATTGTGCAGAGGACACAAGATGAGTGGTTGTCTACATTCATTTATATAAGCTCGCATGAAAGAACATGTAATGTTAAGATTTAAAAATGGAAATTAACTTAATTTGTATAAAATTTACACTTTTTGGATTTTACTTCAATCTTGTGTAATGCAATCAACTAAACCACATTTTTTGGTAATTAAATTCGATTCAAATTTATTTTTTGTAATAAAAATCAAATTTTTATTAGCATAATAATACAAATGAAACATAAGTTTAAAGCAATTTAAAAATATAAAATATGTTCTTCAATAACTTATGTTAAATTTTGAATATATTTAATTAAACCATAACAAGAAGCAGATTTGCAAACCAATTTTTATAAATATATTATGAAAAATTTCAATATTCTTAAATATTCCATTTAAATTCTAATTTTATTCAACAAGCAATAAACGTACATTTAAACAACATAGGTATATCAAAAAATCGAAACTTCTACATTTTCCCATAAGATTAGGTGAAAAGTTATTTTTTCTCTCCTTCTGAATGTGTGTATATGCCATAAATTGTGACCTTTTACCCAAATTTTCAAATTAATTCCTGTGGCTATTGAATTTAATGCTTTGCGTGTTTTCATTTCACCTTTAATCTTTGGCAATTTAATTTTTTATGTTACACTTTTGTTCATGATTGTCCTCAACGTTTTATATATATTTTTTTCTCCCATTTTTTTTTTATTTTTTCAGATTCCCCAGGGACCAACAAACTTTACCCAATCATTTTTACTTCACCGACTATGAGAGACACAATGCTGAAATTGCTGCATTTCATTTGGACAGGTAAGTAGAAGTTTTTATAACCCACAAATACAAACATAAGCACATACACACTTATTCACACTGACCCACAAGGTCCTGGAAGTGTACGACTCGCTCGTGAGTGAGAAAATGAATAAGTGGGTGTAGAAGTTTAAAAATACCATAAAATGCTCATCGAAATAAGCCACAAAACTTTTGTGGTCATGTTATTTATAACAGAAAATCTATGTGTATATGTATGTGTGAGCGAGTGTACACCAGGTCGAGTTTCACTTTTGTCCACATTATGTTTTATAAAAACAAAACAAAAAAGCATCAACATCGTTGATTTGTCCTGACAACTCATCATGAGGCCAAGTCGAATTGAGTAGAACAAATCAACGAAGCAGCAAAATAAAAAAGATGAAATAAATGAATGACAAAACTCCCTACAACTTTTTAATTGCTCCTGACTGGTTTTCATAACAAATATATATACACACACATTTATTCATAATACAGTCATGGTTATTTTCATAAGTCAACAATTAGTTCTTAAATATTTGAATTGAAGTTGTATGACATTTTGTCAGGTAATTTGTTGAAAGTGTGTATATTTATTATAGGGGATGGAAATGAGAATTTAAGTTTTTAAATTGTTTAAGGAGTTGACACTAATATTAAATACTGAAATATATAAATACAGAAAGCGAGCTATAAACCTGTATATTTGAAGATTTTTTCGGAAAGAGTACTTCGAATTTAAGCCTAGGTATTTTAAGGAGTGTGTTGAGTTTAATCGGAGCTATATTTAAAAACATTTACTTTTTAAGTAAATTTAATGTGAACTTTTTAAAAAAATATTTTAATGATCTTTTTTAATAAAAAGTTTAAAGGTGTTTTTTCTAACAAATTTGAAAGATGTTAAATATTTTTTGAAGGTCTTAGTACTGTGTTGTTTTTAAGAATTTTTAGAACGATATTGAGCTTGGAATTAGTAATAAAAATTAGAAAGCTCTTAGAGTGGATTATTTTCAATAATTCAAGGATCATATGCTAGGATATTAAGAGTAGATTTTTGAAGGATTTCTAATGAAAAATGTTTCGACATTTTTGGAATGATCTCATAACAAATTATAAACGTTTTTGAAGGATCTTAGATGCTAATATAGTTAACAGTTGTTGGAGGGCCATTAAAGTGAACTAACTATATATATTTATTAAGGAAACTAACGAGTGGATTAAAACAATATAAGATTTGGATTTTTATGAAAAGGTCCTTGAAGCTGGATTGTTACAAAAACGAATTAAAATGTCCTAAGAGAGAGAGAGAGAGAGAGTTTAATTCTCTATTTTTTAACGTGGATGAAGGATCATATGATTTGATTTTTTAAATTATAGAAATGATTTTTTGTAAAGAAACATTTCAAGTTATAAGTTATAATTTGTCGAAGGACGATTGAAGCCTTAAGCAGTTTTAAGGGATTATTCGTGTTATAAGCATGCATTTTTTGGGGGACAATATGAACGGACTTTTAACAAATATGTTTGAAGGATTTTTAGAATATATCTTTAAAGGCCCTTTCAAGTTCCGAAAGTGATTTCATATATATATATATATATATATTAAGATTTTGCTTGATAAACAAGATTAGATCTAATCTGTTATTAAAGGCTTTTGGGTTTTTAGAGAATATTTAACAAAACTTTGATTTTTCAAGAAATTTAAAAAGGTTTTTTAGTATAGGCTTATCAGGACGGATTTGACTTTTCGGGAATGTTTTTTTATTATTAGCAAGGACTACACGAGGGTTAAAAAAATATTAGGAAAGGGCGTGTAATTTTTAAATATTATTGGGATTTTTTAATGGATTTTTTAAACCATTATTCAAAATTATTATTAGCTTAGATTTTTTCAAATATTTGAAAGAATTAGGCATACATTTTCTGCAAATATTTGAAAGGAGTAATATAATATAAATAAATATTTGAATAAACTATAATAAAATCATTGGAAGGACTTTATGTAGTTTGTTTAAAAAAAATCATTTAATTTATAGGAAGGAGTAGGCATGTATTTTTTAAAAAGTATTTGGAAGGACGGGATGTGCATTTTTTTAGAAAAATATTTGGAGTGACTGTCTTGTATTTCTAAGAAAAATATTTAATTTTTAAAACGGTATTGTTGAGTTCCATGTCTGCATTTTCAGAATAGTTTTTAAAATTTTATTGGCGATTAGGCGATTTGTTTTAAAAATATTTAAACGAGGCTTAGATGTTTTTGAATATTTGGAAAGACTAGGCATAGATTTTTCGAAAATATTTGGAAGGACTTGGCGTAGTTATTTTCGAAAATATTTGAAAGGACTAGGCATAGATTTTTTTAAAAATATTTCGAGAGGACTTGGTATAGATTGTTTTAAAAATCATTTTACTAATACTAGGCGTGGATTTTTTTATAAAAAATATTTAGAAGGACTAGGCGTAGATTTCATAGAAACATATTTGGAAGGACTAGGTGTAGATTTCATAGAAACATATTTCGAAGGACTAGGCGTAGATTTCATAGAATATATTCGGAAGGACTAGACGTAGATTTCATAGAAAACTATTTGGAAGGACTAGGCGTAGATTTCATAGAAACATATTTGGAAGGACTAGGCGTAGATTTCATAGAAACATATTTGGAAGGACTAGGCGTAGATTTCATAGAAACATATTTGGAAGGACTAGGCGTAGATTTCATAGAAACATATTTGGAAGGACTAGGCGTAGATTTCATACAAACATATTTGGAAGGACTAGGCGTAGATTTCATAGAAACATATTTGGAAGTACTAGGCGTAGATTTTATAGAAACATATTTGGAAGGACTAGACGTCGATTTCATAGAAACGTATTTGGAAGCACTAGGCGTAGATTTCATACAAACATATTTGGAAGGACTAGGTGTAGATTTCATAGAAACATATTTCGAAGGACTAGGCGTAGATTTCATAGAAACATATTTGGAAGGACTAGGCGTAGATTTCATAGAAACATATTTCGAAGGACTAGGCGTAGATTTCATAGAAACATATTTGGAAGCACTAGGCGTAGATTTCATAGAAACATATTTGGAAGGACTAGGCGTAGATTTCATAGAAACATATTTGGAAGGACTAGGCGTAGATTTCATACAAACATATTTGGAAGGACTAGGTGTAGATTTCATAGAAACATATTTCGAAGGACTAGGCGTAGATTTCATAGAAACATATTTGGAAGGACTAGACGTCGATTTCATAGAAACATATTTGGAAGCACTAGGCGTAGATTTCATAGAAACATATTTGGAAGGACTAGGCGTAGATTTCATAGAAACATATTTGGAAGGACTAGGCGTAGATTTCATAGAAACATATTTGGAAGGACTAGACGTCGATTTCATAGAAACATATTTGGAAGCACTAGGCGTAGATTTTATAGAAACATATTTGGAAGGCCTAGACGTAGATTTCATAGAAACATATTTGGAAGTACTAGGTGTAGATTTTATAGAAACATATTTGGAAGGACTAGGCGTAGTTATTTTCGAAAATATTTGAAAGGACTTGGTATAGATTGTTTTAAAAATCATTTTACTAATAGAAGGATTAGGCGTGGATTTGTTTATAAAAAATATTTAGAAGGACTAGACGTCGATTTCATAGAAACATATTTGGAACCACTAGGCGTAGATTTCATAGAAACATGTTTGGAAGCACTAGGCGTAGATTTCATAGAAACATGTTTGGAAGCACTAGGCGTAGATTTCATAGAAACATATTTGGAAGGACTAGGCGTAGATTTCATAGAAATATATTTGGAAGAAGTGTCGGGAATTACTTAGTCAGCTCTAGGTGTGGATTTTTGAAAACATATCGGCTCTATGTGTACATTTGTAAAGGACTTACTCAGTTGTAGATGTGGATTCTGTTTATCATTTTTGGAAGGAGTTTTTAGCTTAAGTTGTGAATAAGGTATTTTTTGGAGCTCTATTTGTGAATTAAATGGAATGCAAAGTGCAATGCAAAATTTATAGGACTACCATATCGAAATATATATATAATGAGTTTTTAAATGTATATACAGATCTAGGCATAGATTTTTACTGAATTTTAAGGAAGGACTTAATAAGATCTACTTTGTTTTCAATGAGTTTTTGATGATTCGAAATAAAAAATATGAACGTCTTTGCCAATAATAATTGTCTTTAAAGATTTTTTTGAAGGACAGACTGTAAAATATATTTTGAACGCATTGCTTTCAAAATAAGTAAGCTAGAGGTAAGAATTTTTGTAATTCTACTGCATGGATTTTTTAGACAGTTTTTTATTGAGTAAATTTTTTACATATTTTTATACCCTTCACCACTCTGTGGTACAGGGTATTATGTCTTTGTGCATATGTTTGTAACAGGCAAAAGGAAACGAGATAGACACATGGTTCCTTTTGGGAATATGCATAGAATCACTTTCTGAGTCGATTTATGCATGTCCGTCTGTCCGTCCGTCTGTAGATGTTAAATTGTAAACAAAGTACAGGTCGCATTTATGATCCGATTTGGATGAAATTTGGCAAAAGTCACTTATTCGGCCCAAGGACGAACCCTATTGAAATTGGGAAAAATCGGTTCAGATTTAGATATAGCTCCCATATATATATTTAACCGATTTAATGTAAACGGACCCTATATATCTTTCGATTTGCACGAAATTTGGTACAGCCTAATCATTTAGGTCTAGAATGATGTCTGCCAAGTTTCGTGAAAATCGGTCCAGATTTAGATATAGCTCCCATATATAGTTTCGTCCGATTTCATGTAAATGGTGCACCAAAGTCCCTATATATCTTTCGATTTGCACGAAATTTGGCATAACGTAATGAATTAAGCCTAGAGTAATGTCTGCCAAGTTTCGAGAAAATCGGTCCAGATTTAGATATAGCTCCCATATATAGTTTCGTCCGATTTCATGTAAATGGTGCCCCAAAGTCCCTATATATCTTTCGATTTGCACGAA